CATGATAACACAGAAACCAATGCCTAGATTAATCACCAATAACCTGGAACTGTCTTCATTACTTAATTATCTTTGACTGTTTGACATTAACTAAAATAAAGTGAAATAAAATTTCTACCTGAACATTAGTGGACCAGGTGAGTCCTGAGTACAGTCTGCAGGCTGTAAACACTCAGGGCAAACAGACAGTGTAAAGGAACTAAATACATTTATACTAATTAAATTACTAAATAAATTTAAACTCAGACAAAACTGAAATTCTTGTTCTTGGCCCCAAAAACCTTAGAGACTCACTGTCTAAAGATATAGTTACTCTAGATGGCATTAACTTGGCCTCTAGCACCACTGTCAGGAATCTTGGAGTTATCTTTGATCAGGATTTGTCATTTAACTCCCACATAAAGCAGACCTCTAGGACTGCCTTCTTTCATTTACGTAATATTACAAAAATTAGACACATCCTATCACAGACAGATGCAGAAAAACTAATCCATGCATTTGTTACTTCAAGGCTGGATTACTGCAACTCTTTATTATCAGGTTGCCCCAATAAGTCCATTAAAACGCTCCAATTAATTCAGAACGCTGCAGCACGAGTACTGACAGGAACTAGAAAAAGAGATCACATCTCTCCTGTACTAGCTACTCTGCATTGGCTCCCTGTAAAATGTAGAATAGAATTTAAAATCCTCCTCCTCACCTATAAAGCTCTTCATGGTCAGGCCCCTTCATATCTTAAAGAGCTCATAGTACCCTATTACCCCACTAGAACACTACGTTCTCTGAATGCTGGGCTACTTGTGGTTCCTATAGTCTCTAAAAGTAGAACAGGAGCCAGAGCCTTCAGTTACCAAGCTCCTCTCCTGTGGAACCAGCTTCCAGTTGTGGTTCTGGAGGCAGACACCCTCACCACATTTATATACAAATATATTTGAAAACGGACTTTTAAGTCAACTTCAATAAATAAATATTTATTTATTTTGAAGTTGTCCGGAAGTGACGTAGTTCCTGTTGCTACACAGCGCCCCCCCGGTTGGTCAGCTGACCGTCGGTCGGTCTGGTGACTGTCAAACCGTTGAAGCTCGCGCACCGTGACCCGGACCCAACCCCCACCAGGCCGAGGTCGGTCTCTGTGTCCCCGCCACCGGAGCGCCTGACGCGGACAGGTCTCCCGACGCCCCCCGCTGTCGGCTGGAGGATCAGCCTCACTCTCTCCGCTCCTCCGGTTGGTCCCACTCCGAGGCCGGTCAGCTGGTCCACTCTACCCCGAGCCTCAGCGACCCCCGGCCGGCCCTCCGCCCCGGCTGCCCCCCGCTGACCGCCATGTCCGTGCTGGATGTCGCCATGCAGGGACTCGCCGTGTTCGGCTTCCTGCTGTTCTTCGTGCTGTGGCTGATGCACTTCATGTCCATCATCTATGTGTAAGCTAGCTCCTGCTAGCTGACGGCTAGCGGAGCGCCGCCTCTGTTTCCTGCTTTATTTATGTGTTTTATTCTTTGTTGCTTAAAACATTAAACATAAGAACAACACAAACGGAGCTTTTCTGGCAGGTTTCCGGGTGTGTGATAGCCGTTAAAAGCTCCGTGTCTGACCGGTTGTCTGTTGGGCGTTTTCCGCTGCTAGCTAACCGTTAGCCAGTTAGCTAGCAGCTAATGTCGCTCAGTCGGAGATCTTCTGGGAAACTTCAGTAATTAACTGTTAATATCATCAGCTGGGGAAGTTTATAACGGAGCCGGAGTGGCTTCATATATTCATCCTCACAGCTGTAGCTCGGGTCGTTAGCTGCAGGAGTTTCCTGTTTCCTCTGTTGACGCAGAACCACTTTTATAAAACAGTGGGTTTAATGTTCTGGTGAGCAGCGGTGGTTCTGCTGAGGATGAGGACGGATGAAGATGGTTGGTAAAGTATCATGAGTCGACCTTCACTTCGGCATCTATCCAGTTCATGTAGCAGGTGTTTCTCAGTTCTTGTTGAGTAATGAACTTATTATTATCATTATTATCATTAATATCATTATTATTATTATCATTATTATTATTATCATTATTATTATTATTATTATCATTATTATTATTATTATTATCATTATTATCATTAATATCATTATTATTATTATTATTATTATCATTATTATTATTATTATTATCATTATTTATTATCATTAATATCTTTTATTATTATTATCATTATATTATTATTATTATTATTATTATCATTATTATTATTATTATTATTATTATTATTATTATCATTATTATTATTATTATTATTATCATCATTATTATTATTATCATTATTATTATTATTATTATCATTATTATTATTATCATTATTATTATTATTATCATTATTATTATTATTATCATCATTATTATTATTATTATCATTATTATTATTATTATTATTATTATTATATATTATGGAGAGCTCAGAGTCAATGTACCGATGATCATATCAACCCTCACACTGTAAAATGTATTGTTTGATTCATTTGCTTGTTATTTAAACTAAAACCCCGGTAAGCTTTATATTTCTGTATTTTCTTTATTTTACAGACTGAAGACATTTAGAGAAAACCTTTGAATACCAGAGAATATGACCTGGGAATCAGAGTCCAGCGTGTTTCTGTTTATCAGCGTATGAATTGATTTACGATGATCAGAACCTTTATTGATCAGACTCCCACAGTTAATGTAGAATAGAAATGTCCTCAAATACACACACAGGGTTTTAAATCCCTTTATGTAATACTCCAGGGGATTATTATAGTCCAAAGCATCCAGAACTTTCCAGACTGAGTCTGTTAGTGGTTCTGTTATAAAGTACGACACTGTCAATAACTAATAACCAATAACCACTCTGATCAAATCTAACTAATGTTTACAACAACAACAGTTCAAATGTTTATTTATTCTAGGAAAGTTCATGAAAAAACTTCACCAACATACTTTTATTGAACATAAAGCCGATCAATTGCTTTGATTATTTATCAGCTGTAATTTATAATAATATTAGTGGGTAATTGATCCGTTCCACACTGACTGACACTGACTTTACAAACATCCTGGAAATAATCTGTTGTCCTGGAGCATTGGATGCTAACTGCTAACCTGTGTGTTTGTATTAAAGTGGACTGTTGGAGGATGAACTCATAAAGCAAACAGTCAGCAGCTGTTCACACCTCAGCACCAATAATCACCAATAATCATTCACACGTAGCAGAAAGGGGCGAAATCTAAAGTTCTGAATGAATAAAATGAGTAAAAGCAGCAGTCACATGATCAATACATTTAAAGCATTAAGGCGAGCTGAGCGCTGCTTTTATTGTGAAGAGAAAGTCCTGGATAATATCTGTGTAAAAGCATCCATATAATGACATTGATCTGATAGTTAGTGCTTTATATCTGATTGGAGACTTTAAGGAACCAGGTCCTGGTCTCAGACTGGGATTAGAGACCAGCTGATGGAGGACGAGCTGGTGTTGGCGTTCTGTCACCGTCCTGATGAGGAACCTCAGACCAGATCCTAAACTGGTTCTCTTACTGAGACTCCCTGATAGCTAACCCCAGAATGTTCCTGACCTCTGACCTCTGACCTCCTGTCTCTTTCAGGCGTCTCCACCTCCACAAGAAAAGGTCAGAGGTCAAACAGCCGTTCGCACAGCTGGCTGGAGTTTCTCTGCTGAAGCCGCTGAAGGGCGTCGACCCGAATCTGATCTCCAACCTGGAGACGTTCTTTACACTGGATTACCCCAAGGTGACCCTAAATGCCCCCTAACTGCCCCCACTACCCCCTCACTACCCCCTAACTGCCCCCACTACCACCCTAACTACCCCCACTACCCCCTAACTGCCCCCACTACCACCCTAACTGCCCCCACTACCCCTAACTGCCCCACTACCACCCTAACTACCCCCACTACCACCCTAACTGCCCCCACTACCACCCTAACTACCCCCACTACCACCCTAACTGCCCCCACTACCCCCTAACTGCCCCCACTACCCCTAACTGCCCCCACTACCACCCTAACTGCCCCCACTACCACCCTAACTGCCCCCACTACCCCCTAACTGCCCCACTACCCCTAACTGCCCCCACTACCACCCTAACTACCCCCTAACTACCCCCACTACCACCCTAACTACCCCCTACCACCTAACTGCCCTCAGTACCACCTAACTACCCCCCACCACCCTAACTGCCCTCAGTACCACCCTAACTACCCCCCTACCACCCTAACTGCCCTCAGTACCACCCTAACTGCCCCCCTTACTAGAGATGTGAATCCCCACCACTGAGGCCGATTCGATACACATCTCGATACGCTGCCAGCGATACGATACATTAACGATACAGTGGAGCCCCCTGTCCATACGATGCGATACGATTCATTAATGATTTGACAACGATTTGACTTTATACAATGCGATTCAAACGATTCAACACAATACAAAGAATTTACCAACACACATCTGGTTTCTAATGTATTTGATACTTGATTGTTTTCTATAAAGCAAACCAATAAATCCAACTTAAAAAGAAGATGTGATTCAATATGGTACAGACAGAGGATTGTTTTATTCCTAATAAACACTAAATCATAAACAAAAAATATTTTTATGTGTTTTTAATCTCATTCTCTACTTATACAACACTAAATGTATTATATTCGGGCAATTTCTTTTTGGCCTCTTAATAAAAATAACAAAACAAACAGTCCTGTCTCAGGTCCTTTTACTAATAGTGTTCTCTGTCTGTAATTTCACAATGTTTTACAAAATACTTATAAAACTTCCCAACATCAACAATGTGCAAATAACTTCAAAATAACTTCATCATAGTGCAATGCCCATACTAGTGCCTGCTTAATAATTAACGCTTAATATCTCCTCTTCACCTGTTGAGTCGCTTCCCTCATTTTTTCTGTTTACTAACTAACTGCGTCTGTGATGCCGCACAGAAAGACAGTGATGGTGCGTTTAAGGCGCCTCGAAAAC